GGCTTAACAACATTGTGTTAGAGGTATTATTATTCTACACACTGAAGAGATTGAGGTTCAGAGAGATGGGATGACTTGACCAAGGTTATACAATTAGCAAGTGACAGAGTTGGGATTTAAATTCTGGAATTCTTACTCGAGCAAGGCCTGTGCATTTACACTACTCTAATCCCATTGACAATAATTGACAAAATTAGGATAAAGGATGCATTTAGGAAGGCAGGAAGGGATTCTAAGTGAAGCAGCAGAAGCTAAAGGGGACAAAATGGAGGATGAGAAGTAGGATATGGGAAGAATAGTGTTAGCGAAACCATAAAGTGTGCTGGCAGCCACTCAAGAAGCACCCGAGGCTGTAATGGAGCAAGTTCCACTTCCGAGGTGCATGAGCTGTGCATGGTGGAATAGGCTATTTCTATGCCACACCCCTTGGCACTTATTGTCCTGGCATCCTGAAAATTACCCTGCTCTAAGGAAGGGGAAATCCACCAGAGGAAATACTCTATTGAGAACCTAGGATGACGTTTGATGGGTGTGTATCTAAAACTTGATATGATGGGAGAAGTGGTGAAAGGAACTGGACTGGTCACCTTGTATTTTATGACAAATACGAATACTACACATTGCTTTACTGAAATGCCCATTTATCCTGTTTTATATTATACTGTCATTTTAAAATGTTGCAATAGAAATGCTGGAGTTGCGATTGTGAAAGTTCATTCATCATGCTGGAGGCGATGGCATAGTGGACAAAATGCCAGCTTTCACTAACTCTGACAACACTCTGTATCCAGAGGTTAACATGCAAGTGGCATTGACTCCTCAATTCATCTTCTGAATGAAGCTAGTTCCACAAAATTTACTCAGATGGCTGGAGGGTCCTTTGCAGAATGTCTGGAAAAAATTGGTTATCATGTCTGGATAACGAAGATGCCTAGAACTTTTAAAAATTTAGGATTTCCCCCAGTTTCCTGGAAACATGAGATATGAGAGACTGTTATGATATGAGAGACAAAGGATCTGTTAGCACAATCTTATAATCGGTGCACCATTCTGGCTAGCTTTCCCTTCTTTATCATTAGCCTTACACAAGCCAATTTAGCCTCCCCTTGAACTACAGTAGACCTCCCTTATCCCTGGTTTCACTTCCATGGTTTCTGTTACCTGTGGTCAACATAGGTCCCAAAATATTAAATGAAAAATTCCAGAAATAAATAATTCATAAGTTTTAAATTGCACAGCATTATGAGTAGTTTGCTAAAATCTTGTGTTGTCCTGCTCTGTCCAGCCTGGGGCATGAATCATATCTTTGTCCACAGTATCCATGCTGTATATGCTCCCTGACCGTTAATCACTTAGTAGCCATCTTGGTTATCATGGTATCACAATGCTTGTGTCAAGTAACCCTTATTTTACTTAATAATGGCCCAAAGTGCAAGAGTGGTGATGCTGGCTATTCGGATATGCCAAAGAGAAGCTTCCTTTAAGTGAAATAAAATGCTGAGAGAGAGAGAACAAGAGCATATATTCACATAACTTTTAGTACAGTGTATTGTTATAATTGTTTTATTTTATTATTAATTATTGTTGATCTTACTGTGCCCAATTTACAAATTAAACTTTATCATAGGTATATATGTATAAGAAATAACATAGCATATACAGGTTTCGGTACTACCTGTGGTTTCAGGCATCCACTGGAGTTCTTGGAATGTATCACCCGTGGATGAGGGGAGACTGTTATACTTCTTTCCATTCAAATGTTTCATACTCCTTACTTTAGATGCCTATAATAGTCTCTTTACTTTCTTCACCCTTTTCAGAATTTCTTTATCTTAACATTTATACTCAGATCGGTCCATTCATCCACTTAATAAAACTATTCTTTCATTAAAACATCTTTCACTTTTATGACTTTATCAATTGTTTTACAATGACAAGCTAAGAATGTATAGTAGTTCACAAAAATAATGCTACCACTATGAAAATTAACAATAACTAGATTATTTATAAAATCCATTTTTATGAAATTCTTAAAAATGTATCAGCTAAATTTATATCAATCTGAAGAAGTCTTTGTTCCAGTTGTAATCTCAAAACCAATGCAAGCGTACATACTGTGTGACAGATATTGTTCTAAGCACTTGGCTACCATGCTAAAAGAAAAGTCCTGTCCCTGCTATAGTCTAGTGAAGGGGACAGACAACTATAAATAGGTGTTAAGTGTTATAACATCATACAGCAAAGTGCCCTAGAAAAAACTTAATTCTCTTTGTGAACTCAGAGAGGTAGCTTTGAGTAGGGACTTAAAGCCTTTTATTTCTAAAGGCATAGTTTGACAGGATCTAATTTTCAGATATGAGTTTCTAAATGAGTCTAAATCTTGCATTTGTGGTGAATGTTTAAAAGGTAAATGAGATGTAGTTAGAACAATAAGGTTTGGGCTATGGGGAGTTGAGAAACCGGAGGGGTGAGGTTAATACGAACATAAACTAATTTTATTCATGCCCCAGGATCTTCACACATGATTTTCTCCTTTATTTTTTCTCCTGTAAGTGTATTCCAAGATTTCATCACCACATTCTTTACTGTCATCTCTCAGACATTATCAATGTTTCTGATACATCACGCACTACTCCTTCTACTCTTCCTGGCTCTGAGATGGGACTGCTTCCATATATGCTGACATTCTAGTTACGACAACAATCCAGCCCTCCCTGTTCCAGCTACTTCTGCCATTAGATCACTGTCTCCTTTATTACCCACTGCTAATTGTATTTGTTTATTTCCCACACATAATGAATAATGTGGTCACTTTAGTTATATTTTATTCATATTACCTAGTTATATGAATTTTTTACATTAATTCATGCTTTCTCTATAATTTCACTGTAGTTTACTAATATCTACATAGTTGATCCTTAAGTTCTCCAAGTGGTTTTTAAGTAAGTGAGAATGTAGCAATCCTTAGTTATTTCTTATAAATTCTCAATTTTCTTCCCTGAAATTTCCAATTGCCCAATGTTTATTTCCTCAGGATGACTGCAGGGCTATATACAGGGCTGTCTTCCAGCATTCAGCATACCTTTGTATCTAGTTGAAGGCATAATAGCTGGGCTACAAGGCAAAGAATAAGACCTATTTGCACTGCCTTCACTCAAAATGTCTTACAGCCAGGATTAGGATGGTGTGCAGCCAACTGGCTGCCTAGAAAGCTGCACACCTGACTGGTGCCCTCTGGTGGTAATAGGATGCCTTGCAGTATAGAGCCTTGATACTCTATATACTAGAGACATGAGAACCTCCTGGCTCCTATTTTATTAATTTTATGTAGGATCGGTCCTTCCTTCTCCTTCTCTTACTTTATTTTCATTTTTCCGTCTTATTTTTTAATAACTTGTATACAGTGCTGATTTAGGCCTTTACAAAGGAGCATACGGTGAGTCTATAGGAGAAACTCAAGGATGGTGACAGTGTTGGCATAAGGACTTGTGACATAAGGTTTGATTTAGTCACAACAGAATGTCAGTGGTTCTTGAAAGAGAATTATGATCACCCATTTGTCATTTCTCATGACAAGAAAAATATGAGCATGAATGAATATTGAGGGATTTTGATCCACTCACTAGAAGCAAATGTTCATTCAATTCTATAATTGATAAATGGGAACTAAAATCAATTGTGAAATATTCTCTACAAGTTTTTAACATGAGAGTCAAGTACTAACTTTTAAAGATAATATAAATTTCATTCTGTCTAAAGTTAGAGATGGACAAAGATGACCACTCAAATCCCTCTCTACTCACCAAATTCTGAGTCTTGTGTATGAATCCAAATGTTTCTTAAAAAAAAGTCAGTGGAATATTTGTCTTCCATGAATCTATCAGTTGCTGCTGCAGTATTACACTTAATGTTGATTTATGGTCTGAAAAAGTTTATTGCCTCTCTAAACATCTGTCTGACTTCTGTCAACCCAGTTAAAAAACTTGCATTTGTTATCACCTGAATATAATTTCTCAGAAACACGGGAAATGTGGTTAGGTATACAGGCTTACTGGTGACTTCTAGAAATGAGAATATGGCTATTTTTATTCTACAAGGGAGCAAATTACTCCACCTGAAGTTATCACATATATATTTTGAGGTCCATAAAAAGGTTTATATTAGAATAAGAAAGTGAATTAAATTTGATTGAAACTAATTTAAACTATCATTATTCCCTTGATCAAACTGTTTCTTCTGGAACTTTTACTCTCCCTTCAGTAGTAAATACTCAGAAATTCAAATGTAAAGTCTAGAAATGACCAACAATATCTAATTGATGAACAAAATGAAAAAGGCTTACATTCTAGCCTTGGATAGAACAAGAAGAGTCACTAAGTCTGCAACATAGAAACACTATATGTCAAGAGTAAAGGTAGAAGTAAAGGGTAGAATTATTTTGTATGTTCAGATACAAAACAAATTAGGAAAGAAATCTGGATCCACTAAATGGAAAGTGTAATAACTGTTCTGTCTGTTTCTGCTCCCGCCTCTCCTTGACACTGTATAGGTCATCTTTTATAAACACGAGCCAGACCATGTCAATCTCCTGCTCTCAGCCATCTTAGCTTACATCAGAGTCCTTACCATGGCCTACCAAGGTCCTACGTATGCTAGCCCTGGCTAGCCCTTCAACAGCATTTCCTGCCAGTCTCCCTGTAACTCATTCATATTTAGAATCAATTATGTCTGCCAAAGGAATTGGCAAAGTGCACGTTTGTTCTTGTGCTAAATCTGTCCTTCCAAAGGCTGTTCTGGTTTTCCATAATGAAGTGACAAATGCTAAAACAGGCACAATGGACCAGTATGATGATTGCCAAGGGACTGAATCCAATTGATGAAAGTTAATCATGCATATACCTAACTCTCCCAAGAAGTGGTTCTTATAGACATGTTAGCAATTAGGGTAGGAATTACTCTGATGATGATATTCCACCAAATAATAGCCAGTAAAGACTCACCTGCAGCTACTATGATAACATCTGCCAGCTGAGTGTGGATCTTCAGTTGTTCTTTGGGGGTATATCTGTGAGCTATTGTCACAGTTGCATCACCTGGAATGCAGAAGAACGTCCATTAATGATCACTAAGCTTGTTCGTAATTTATGAATGATCCAATTCTAGAGTTTCAGTTAGATTCTAATGGTAGGAAAATTGCTTTGAAATGATCAAATCTCTTTGAGAACAAAAGCTAGATAAAGAAATGTAGATGATCCATAATGTTGTACCTTTCGACTGACCAGTGAGAAATCACATGAGACCGAGTGAGGATGTGTACAGGCCACCACAGGAGCGCCGTAAGTAAGGGTCCTGGAAACCTAGTATTTGAAAGTTCCTTATTTACAGGTTAATACACAGATGCAGGGGATATTCACTGGCTTGTTAATAAGACATATAAATATTGAAAACAGCCGGATCAGTGCGCTAAAAATGGGGCAATATATTGTGGGAGAGATGAGAGATTAATTCTGCCCCATCTTGAGGAGGTGTCAAGGAAGAGCTCCTAAAGGAGGCAACAGACTGCTTCAGGTCGTAAGGTATGAGCTAGAGTGCACGAAGCAAGGAAGTAAGAAAATGGCATTCCAAGCCAAAAAGAATGGCAGGAAAAAAAATGGACCAACTTTGAAATTATGTGCTTAGGAAATGATGAAGAAGTCTAGGCCATCACAGGAAGTATGCATACATGTTTAATGAAGTGATGTATGAATAAGAGAGGTTAGCAACCTGAGAGATTCCAGTGTTTGAAGCGTGAGCCAAGGAAGAGACGCGAGAGAAAGGCAGTCAAGAGTGAAATTGAAGGAAGGACTTCCACAAAGAGCGTGGCTGTGAGCGACAGTATCTTCTCTCTTGTCTTCCTGAATAACACTCAACAACAAAAGCTGCACAATCTCTATTTTTAGCAAAACTAGCAGACATATTTTCCAGACTCCAGAAACATGTGAGAGTTACCCAGGGGCAGCAGAGTTGGTAGATCCCATATAGGGAGAAAGGCAGCAAAGGAATTCAGAGAATAGCAAGATGGCCAGCAGCGGCAGTTCTCTGAAAATGACTGCAAAAATATACTTCCTGAAGGTGAAGGGTTCACATCAAAATGCAAAAATTTGTAGCAGAGAAAATAGGAATACAGGCAGAAGAAGCCCTCTTGGATCCAGTATAGTTCACAGTATGAAAAGACTCACACAAGGGAGTCATTTCAACCGGAAGCAGTTTGAGTCTGTGCAGGTGGTAGGGGGTATCTGAAGGCTGCCCAGCACTTCCTCCCCAACCCCTAGCAGAAGTAGCCTGCAAACACCAGACTCAACTCGTTCAATGATAAGTAATAAAAAAAGCATTTGACAAAGCATTAGAAAAAGGATACTGTATACAAATCAGCCCAGGGAATTTTTGGGTGGTAACGAAACTGTTCAGATTCTAGTGGTAGTTACATGACACTATATATATATATATATATATATATATATATATATATATATATATGCCTAAATTCATGGAACTATACAACAAAAAGAGAGAATCTTACTATATGCAATTTTTTAAAGTAAATAAAAAGATACATTTTAAAAGCGGCAGACCCAAGAAAAAAACAAAAGATGTATATATATATTTTTTTAAGAATTTGCCAACATACTAATAAGCTGAACAGCAAAATGTTATGAAAAAGTTGAACATTATGACCAAACATTATGCCAAAAATTAAAAAAATAAGAACTTAAAGTCACCAAAATTAGGGAAAAAAGACTTGAATCCATACAAATTGGCTTATAATAATCAAAACTGAGATACATTTCAGTAAAATAGCTAGGTTTTAAAGATTAAAACATTAATCCTATGAGCAACCAGGCAAAATTCAAATTTTTACACTACTGCAGAAAACAGCACAGCAATACCTACAATAGACTCCTGTAAAAAACATTGGGAGCCAAGGATTTTATATCAGGTCAAATTGTCCTTCAAGATTAAAGACTGCAAACAATTTTTAAAAGAACTCAGGGAATATTGCTCCCATGAGTTTTTCCTGTGGAACTTGCTAAAAGATGAACTTTAATGAATCAAAATATATCTTAAGAAGCTAGCAAAAGGAATACTGGAGAGTTTTGAATATATTTAATTTCAAAGCTAAGACTGACTCTGGGTGGTGAACACACAATGTGATATATAGATGATATATTACAGAATTGTACACTTGAAGCCTGTGTAATTTTACTAACCATTGTCACCCAAAAAAACTTTAATTTAAAAAATAAATAAATAATTATGAGGATGAAAATGTAAATGCTATTTGCTCTGATTACATAAAAATGATACAATAAACAAAATTAGAAGGGGAAGGGCAAAGGTGATAAAGTTTGCTGACTGCCGATGACTAGAATCAACAGATATCATTTAAAGTTGACTAATCAAATAATAGAAGCATAAAAATACTTAAAAACATAAGGTAAACACACTATAAAGATAATTTTTACTGGCAAATACCAGGTAGGAGACAACAGAAATGGAATCATGGAATAAAGCCAATAGATACCACATGAAGAAGTAGAGAACTAAGAGAACTGTATAAACTTTTAATTGTTAAGGTAGCCACAAACCTCCCTAAATATCTGAATAACCATATACATACACAAAAATGCAAAAACTAAATAAAAAACATAAAAACTAAAAAACAAAATAGAAAATAATATATGGTTCAGACCATATATACATGTATTTACCATAATAACAAATATAAATATTCCTACCAAGTTATCTTATTTAAAAGAATAATATTTTCAAATTGGCTCATAAATCAAAATCTAATTCTAACATATATACGACACAACTAGAAAGATAAACCATGTACTTGGGTAGAAAGACTCAACATCATCAGGATAACAATTCCCTCTATGTTCATTACAGATTTAATACAAGTACAATAAAAAATTTAATTTTTACTTTCTTTGTACAAATATAACTTGATCCTAAAGTTAATAAGAAAAAATAAAAGAACAACTGGAAAATCTTTTAAAAGAAAGAACAATAAGAGGAAACTATTGGGTTGTTGGAAAAATCATGACGCATTTTTGCAACAAAAAACATAGAAAAAATAGGTCATGACTTTTCTGACAACCCAATGGAAATACCTGATGTAGTAGTCTTTCTCATTTCAGTTAATGGCACTACCTTCTGCCCAGTTACACAGAGTAAAAGTCTCCCTTGCTTTTTTCCCTTTCTTTCATTTGCTATAAGCCATCAACAAATGTAGAGTATAGGTTTAGAACCATCCCAAGGCACCAAAATAGTGAAGCATCCTCCCATTTCTATCTTAGTACAGTTCTCCTATATTCATAAAGGTTTTCTTTCTTTCTTTCTTTCTTTTTTTTCAAATTGGGGAATTGGAAAAGGGGAACAGACAAGTTGTTGTCCTTTTTTGTTCTTCAGTCTAGTTGTGGAGGACATTGCTTCACTGACCCATGTTGGTATTATCATTGCACTCTTCCCAAGTGAGGGAGTTGCTCCCCAGCTATTGGACATCCACTCACAGCAGCTCATGCCAGCTCATGCCAGCTTATGCCAGCTGCTGGTAAGCCCCACTACAGCCTACGCTGTCACCAGTGACTCATGACAGCCCAGCTCCAGGTTGAGCTGTTGTTCACCATCTTAGCTGTAGAGGGCTCAGCATCACTGGCCCTCATGTGGGATCCAAACCAGGGCCCTGCTGCTCAGAGCTGGCATCCCAAGCCAACTCTTAACCAACGCGCCACTCAGCTGGCCCCCAGAAAGGTTTTCTTATACATTAGCAACCCACTCAAGTCTTCTCTGCTTCCAAATGAGAGCCTCCCAAATCCCCACAAAACCAAAATCAAAACCAAAAGCAAACCAAAAGCCTCCCACTTCATCTGATGCTTTCAGCAAGGAATTGAGAGATGCATCATAATCCAGTGATATATATTTTTTTCTCCAAAAAAATGTATACACATTTTAAGAAAAACTGTATTAAAATTGTAATACTCAATATAATATATGCAGATAACAAAAGATGAATACAAGTCCATTGGACTTCTATAATTATAAGAGGTGCTCAAAGTGGTTACCATCAACCTCCAGACACTTCTGATTACAGCGAACTACTTCTTGAGCTACGTTGACCAAAGTGTCCACTTGTAAATATTTTTTTGGCACCCCCAGTGTGCATGTGTGCATATGTGTATGTGTGTATATGTATTTCATATATATAGTTTAAGCAAAATAAAAAATATATTGAGATAAGTTTCAATCAACATGGAATGATCTTTTAGGTAATTCCACTTCCGTTCAATATCTAGTTAACTTGTTATTAATTAATATCACTCCTAATTAAATTTGGCTAGACAGACCCATGAGAAATATCAAAGTCATATTTAGACTTGTTTCTGATTATGGTGATACCAATCCATGAAAAAGCTTTTAGCCTGCTATTCACTAGACTAGATGATGAGAGCAAAGAGAGGTAGGTGAACCAAGGGACTTAAACACAAATAATGCCTCAGACTTTTCTTCATTTGCCCTTGATACATGCCTGTTCCTGGTCCTGAGAGCTAGGTAGCCTGTGTTAAAATAAAAAACAGGGCCGGCCGAGTGGCGCGATGGTTAAGAGCCGGCTTGGGATGCCAGAGGGCCCCAGTTCGGATCCCACATTTGAGGGCCAGTGACACTGCCCTTCACGGCTAAGATGCTGAACAACAGCTCAACCTGGAGCTGGGCTGCGTGAGTCACCGGCAACGGCGTAGGTTGCAGCCCCTGTGGCAGTGGGTTGCCATGGGTTACCGTATGTAGCCAGCAGCCAGTGTGAGTGGCCAGCGGCTACGGTAAGCGGCTGTCCAGAAGCCGGCGACTGATCTGCCTCGCCCGGGAAGAGTGCAATGATGGTGCCAACTTGGGCCAGTGAAGCAACATCCTCCAAACTAGATAGAACAAAACGACAGCAACTTGTCTGTTCCCCTTCCCCCAATTCCCCAGCACTGTTCCCATCCCCCCAATTCCCCAATAAAAATCTTAAGAAAAAAAAAAATTAAAAAAAAAAAGGACATTAACCTTGAAA